GGGGGGGGGGGGGGGGGGGGGAAGGGTTCTTGTTTGCAGAGCCAAAGAATGAGCTTCACAGTCAAGATAAGAGAGCAAGGTACAGGCTTTTATTTAGAGATAAAGTGAAAGGACAGAGCTCCCGGCTCACGCCAGGAGGGGACAAGAGAGTCTGGGGTGGTGCGTTGTCTAGGGGTTTTATAGGCAGCTGAAGATTTTTCAAGAACATGAAAAACTTAGGAGTGTGGACTTGTTAAGTGGTCCCTGAATATTTAGGATTAATTTAACACAAGTAACTTCCTCTGATGATTTCCCCCTGAGATGTCAGCATCTAGGTCTGGGGGCATATGAAACAAGGCCACCTGCTCAGCCCCAAGATGGGCTGAGGTATTGTTTGCTACAGAGTAAGTTAAGAATTTCTGACGTATTAACTTCTTGGGTATTAAAATGCAATCTTATCTTTAAGGTGGAATCCTTCCTGCCTTTTACTGTGTTGTTTATGCCTAGGCTTACTTGCTAAATTAGTTGCCCAGTTTGCAAAATCACTTCATCAGATCTGAAGGAGGAAAGACAGCACAGAAGCCTGGGCCTTTTAGAATGCTAAAGAGAACCTTACACATGATTATAAATAGTTAGCATAATAAAACATGTGCTACTCTTCTTTATCTGGGGAACATTAACTGATTTCACTGAAGAATGATTCTAGAGCTCAATGTTTAACACAGAGTTTTAGCAGGGGGGTTTCCTTGCTTGGTTACATTGCTCTGACTGCAAATATCCCGCCCTGCCCCCTCCAGAGGCCTTCACCCTACTCTGACTACATCCACGGTCCCTGTCTCATAAGGACAGCGTGGTGCCAGCCAAGAAAACTAGCTGTTGGGCACTTGTTTATGAAAAGCTTTAGAGAACACAAGCAATAGTTACCTGCATATTAGTTCTTCTGTCCCAACATTTTATTATGGAAATTTTCATACATGCAGAAAAGTTAAAAAAAATCATACAGGGTATACACCCATAAGCCCACCACACAATTCTACAATTGCTGACATTTTGCTGTCAATTCCTCTACCAATCCAACAATCCACATTCTTTTTGAGGCATTTCAAAGTAAGGTGCAGATCACTTCACCCCAAACACTTCAGCCTGTGTATCATTAACAAGAGTTCATTATTTTCTTACCATTATTTTTTCCAAGATAAAATTTACATACAGTGAAATACACAAATTATAAGTCTACCATCCAATGAGTTCTGACAAATGACCTACATAATGCAAACCCAGATCAGGCTAAAGAGTATTTCCAAACCTCAGCAAGTTCCCCATGCACTTCCCTTACATTTTCTCTTTCATGACTTCAAAATTGCTTGTGTATGCCTGTATGTGTGCATTAGTGTGAATGTGTGCGCATGTATGTGCGTGTGTAGGATGGGGCTTCTGGAAAGCTAGTATCCCTGTGAGACAGGGACCGTGGGTATAGTCAGAGTAGGGTGAGGGCCTCCAGAAAAACAAGGCAGGATATTGGCAGTCAGGGCAATGTAACTACATGCAAGGAAACCCCCTACCAAAACCCTTGTGTTAAACATTCAGCTCTAGAGTCATTCTTCAGTGAAATCAGTTAATATTCCCCAGATAAAGAAGAGAAGCACATGTTTTTATTATGCTAATCATTTATAATCATGTGTAAGATTCACTTTAACATGCTAAAAGGCCCAGGCCTATGTGCTGTCTTTCCTCCTTCAGATCTGATGAAGTGATTTTGCAAACTGGGCAAACTAATTTAACAAGTAAGCCCAGGCATAAACAACACAGTAAAAGGCAGGAAGGATTCCACCTTAAAGGTAAGAT